TTTATATCAAATGGCAGCCGTTGGGAAAGTTACCATCAGTCCTTTAGTTGACTTCAGGCTTCACAGAGGAGGAGGAACATCAAAGTGAAACAAGTCGAGAGGGAGAGGGGAAACAGAAGAGAGTTTCAAAGATGTAAAAGAGGGAGAGACACAAAAGTAGAAAAATGGTGAGGCGAGTACTGTGGAAGTAGTCGAATATGACGTACAATGTGGTGAGGATAGTTTGAAGTCAGAAGTCAACTGCCAGTTAATAGACTTTTTTGCCGTATGAGTATACGTTACCCAGGGTGCACCACGGGGAGGTAAGTCTATCGGAAGCTATGTTTTTCTCTATTTCTTATGCAAAACGATGAACCTGTGTAGGTATTCTCAGAAATGAGAATAGTTATCTTGAGGGCGGTAAATTATTTTTTGTGTACCTTCGATATCGACTCAAATAGTAATTGGAGCTATTTCACTTGCTCATTGTGTGTGTAGATTAACTTCAAAATTGAGTCATCTTATATCTTCAATTTTTCATAGCAAATTTTTCATCATTTTAAATAGCTGGTGGAATAATTGCCTTGAACGCTTAGAATACATCAACGTAAGGACTTCTTCTCCTGACATGGACGCAGGAATTTTAATCAAACTATCCATTTCTTCAGAGTCGAATCTCATCCGAAATATTTCGAACTGCCACCTTTAAGAGGTTCTAAGATTAGTGCAAAGTTTTCTTTTTTGGAAAATAAGCGTTGTAAGTTGCGATTGGAATTCAAAATCTGCAATTCAAAATTTTCAGACCACCAAATTAGTATTGCCACACACACGCACAGGTTCAAATCGGAACAACGCAAACTTAAAGGAATTCTACGCTGCATACTCAAGGCGCTTGTGTGCAACATCTCGACATTTGGGCTTGGAATGATTACCTTGGATGCGAAAGTAAAATGCTTGCAAAGTGTTAGGTGATTTTGACGGATCATTTGAAGAAGCATGCTAAACGCCGCATCAATAGAATTCCAAATTGGATATTAATCCAATAATTAAACACTATTATCTAAATAATTTCCTCCACCATCACTATTCAATAAGATTGGACAATTGATTCGAGACGGTTTTGGTTAGCTTCGCTGAGGCACAGACACTGAACTCGTGTTGAAGGTTATTGAAAAAAACGGGAAAATTTGGACTTTCGAACGTTAGAACACGGTTGATTGAATTAAATTCACTTAGAGAAAGGTGATGAAAATTCAGTTGTAATCTGCTTTCAAGAGTGTTCTATTGGAACAGAAAATTGAATTTTTTGATTTGCTACGAAAAGCACTCAAAGAGAAAATTATTTCACACTTTGTTGTAAAATACTTAAACAATGTCACTGTCGATCTAGATAGAAAATCCATGTCAATTGTTTTCACAGTTACCACAAAAAGATATTTGCCATCAACATGGGGTGTGAGATAGACTTACCTCCACGTGGTGCATCCTGGGCAACGTATACTCATACGGCAAAAAGGTCTATTAACCGGCAGCTGACTTCTGACTTCAAAACACCATCAGCCTACTTTATGTCATATTCAACTGCTTCACAGTACTCACCTCACCTTTTTTCTACCTTTTCTACCTTCGTCTTTGAAACACTCTTCTGTACCCCCCTCCCATCTCGACTTTTTCACTTTGATGTTCTTCCCCCCCTCCCATCTCGACTTTTTCACTTTGATGTTCTTCCCCTCTGTGAAGCCCGAAGTCAACTAAAGGGCTAATGATAACCATCAAAATGCCAGCCATTTGTTATAAATAAATAAATAAACTGCCATCAACATATTAGGTTTCTTGTGCAAAGATTTATTAGGAGGGAATACTTTAAATGAATAATAAATGTCATAACTAACAAAATTCCAATAACATATAAATGAAATGAGGTTGTGGGTTTTAAGGGGAGTGGAGCTTTTTACCATATAAACTTCAATAGTGTAATTGAATAATATTGTTGCGGATAAAGGTTACAGTCTTTAGTTAATAAAGAGATCTTAACAAGCATACGAATAATTGAATACACCTTATTATCAAAATGATTTAAATAATTGTCATTTCAGGAGTGAAAATAATTTAGAATCCTATTCTTGCGATAGCTCCCAAATGGCAGAATTAAATTCGGAGATACACCGACTAATAACTAAATGATCTTTTGCTTATTTTTACTATATATATATATATATATATATATATATATATATATATATATATATATATATATATATATTATTAAAATACTTTGGGGTTACCATCTCTTGAACTCATCTATTTTAAAAAAGTTTCTGTGCACGAGAGTAAGAAAGTGATATTGAATCATTTCTTAAATCAATTAAAATAACTAAACCCTAATATATAAATATCCCACACATACTCTCACCAAGAAGATCGTGAAGTGAATACAAAGAGAAAAACTAATATTGTAAACATAGAGGTAATCCAAAGTGACCAAGTGACAACTCCCAATTCATCATTTGCTGGGCTATTCTGCAACTTTCAGTGTTCAGTTGTTATCGTGTGACAAAATCTTGTCATTGTCTAACAACTATAATTATATAATTGTAATTTAAATAAAACAGACTCTAAAGAATGTTTTTGATAAAAGTGTGTTTATGATCAGAAATGCCATATTTACGTATAGGCTATTGTGATTCATATGCAATTAGTTACACGAAGACGATTTACGTAACTTTGTAACAAAGCTTAACCCGAAATTTTTGCAGTTGAATACTTTCAGGAATTGGCTATCTTATCGATGATTGATTTCGGATTTTTGAGTTAATATTTATTTAACTTAAAGTAGTGTCACTGATTAGCAATCATCTGGGATTTTAAATATCTTATTTCATAAGGGAGAGGTTTGGATAAAGGGTCCCATGCCACAATGTCATACGAACTGCTCACAGTAAATCTAATTTGATCTTATCAAAAAGCTTTGAGAAAGCCGTGAACTAGTTCACCTTCCATTCTCCAACTTGCATCTTTTTATCCGCTCATCTTTTTCATATAGGTACATAATATCCTTACAATGAAGGCCTTAATCAGGAGAGAATTCAAGACCTCAATATGCAACGAACTTAAAGCTCGAACAAAGGAGAAACAGTGGGGCAACGAAATTAAAGCTCGAACAAAGGAGAAACACAGTTGGCACTCTCCGATATAACCGACTGGCCAGGAATCGAAGCCGTTGCCGACTGGCCAAGAATCGAAGCCGTTGCTGAGTTTAACTTTGGCCAAGAATCGAAGCCGTTGCTGAGTTTAGACTACGTACGGACAGATTGCATCAAAACACCTTCACAGATTGAGAGTATACACTCAACCCACATACTCTATGTAACCTACAGGAGGAAATGGAGAAGTCCCACCTGTCTATGTGACCTACAGGAGGAAACGGAGAAGACCCACCATATGTAACCTACATGAGGAAATGGAGAAGACCCATCTGATCTGTAACCTACAGGAGGAAATGGAGAAGACCCACCTGATGTGAAACCTACAGGAGGAAATGGAGAAGACCCATCTGATTCTTAATCTAAGAGAGTATACACTCAACCCACATGCCCTCTGTGTAACCTACATCAAAACACCTTCACAGATTGAGAGTATACACTCAACCCACATATACTCTATGTAACCTACAGGAGGAAATGGAGAAGTCCCACCTGTCTATGTGACCTACAGGAGGAAACGGAGAAGACCCACCATATGTAACCTACATGAGGAAATGGAGAAGACCCATCTGATCATGTCCAGCCCTAAAGACAACGACGGAAAGACAGAGATACTGGGATCCAGCCCTAAAGACAAGTACGGAAAGCCAAAGATACTGGTATACAGGAGGAAATGGAGAAGACCCACCTGATTCGGTGTTCAAAGGAGGAAATGGAGAAGACCCACCTGATTCGGTGTCTAGCGATCAACCCACATGCCCTCTATGTAACCTACAGGAGGAAATCTGGCGAAGCACCTTCACAGATTAGGAGTATACAATCAAAACACCTTCACAGATTGAGAGTATACACTCAACCCACATATACTCTATGTAACCTACAGGAGGAAATGGAGAAGTCCCACCTGTCTATGTGACCTACAGGAGGAAACGGAGAAGACCCACCATATGTAACCTACATGAGGAAATGGAGAAGACCCATCTGATCTGTAACCTACAGGAGGAAATGGAGAAGACCCACCTGATGTGAAACCTACAGGAGGAAATGGAGAAGACCCATCTGATTCTCTACAGGAGAAAATGGAGAAGACCCACCTGATTCGGTGTTCAAAGGAGGAAATGGAGAAGACCCACCTGATTCGGTGTCTAGCGATCAACCCACATGCCCTCTATGTAACCTACAGGAGGAAATTAACCCACATGCCACCTATGTAACCTACATGAGGAAATGGAGAAGACCCACCTGACTCGGTGTTCAGCCTTAAAGACAAGGAAGGAAAGCCAGAGATACTGGGAAGCAAGTACAGGAAAGCCAAAGATACTGGGAAGCAAGAAGACTGCTAATGTCTGCTATTAATTAACTGCTATATATGTACCCCCCACCCATGGGCTGTGTTAATAACCGCTATAAATGTACCCCCCCCCCCTCTTGGGGAAGCTGAAGTCAAAGATTAAGGCTATAAATGTACCCCCCCCCCCACCCTTGGGGGAAGATGAAGTCAAAGTTTTTCCGCTATTGATTAACTGCTATAAATGTACCCACCCTTCCTTGGGGGAAGCTGAAGTCAAAGTTAAATTGCGAATGATACCCCTCCAATGTACCCCCCACCCTTGGGGAAGCTGAAGTCAAAATTCGGAAAGCCAGAGATACTGGGAAGCAAGAAGACAGCTAATGAACTGCAATTAATTAGCTGCTATATATGTACCCCCCCCCTTGGGGGAAGCTGAAGTCAAAGTTTATGGGGTAATGAAAAATATCATAAAGCCTGTCATTTGAAATATATATATATATCCTTACAAGTAGACTATCATAGTGTTCATGCGTGGTTCTCAAGTACCATCAAAATAAAAGACATGCTTTTCATAGTATCGACTGGCCCAACTACGTCTTCTCCTATTCCATTTCGGGAAAAAAATTATAACCGCTCCTATTTCTCTTACATGCTAAATATATTTTTCTATTTAAGTCTATTCGTATAAAGAAAACTTTGGCGCTAACGATAAATAGAAATGAGCATTTATGGAGAACCATGTTTTAACGACGATATCCAGACCTTATTGATCATCGACCCCTAATCTCCATTTCGCATTAATTGAGAAAGGCGCATGGAAATAGATTAGGGAGTCTGGCAGGTACTCTTAGCCGATCCCCTCCTCTCACTCCACTTTCCACCTCCAGATCTTGTGAGATGGGATGGCAGCAGGCGGAGACGGTAAACTCGTCACGTTAAATCTGCTCTCTTCAGAGCGTGGGTGGAGGTGGTATTTGTTAGTACACGTGCGCATCGTGCGCGCAAGCTGCTTTCCGAGGTTGCCCGGTTGCTTGCCTGCTTTTGGATGTTTTGCTTGCAAGCTAGCCAGCCAGCCTCGATGTGTGTGTATCGGGTGGCGGCGGCATACATCAAAGCCGGACAGCCAATGGACACAGAAGAGACGTCCGCCTCGTTCTCCTTCTCTCAATCACACTCGCACTCTCTCTCTCAACAGAAGCAGTAGCATCATTGGGGTAACAACAGACGTAACAGTCTCCCCTCTGAAGATTAGTCCTCTCTCCATTCATTCAGCAAGAACTTGAGCTCAATCTCTCTATCATTCCTTCACTCTAACTCCTATCTACCTTCTATACCTCGTGCGCACTATCTCTCACTCTCACGCCAAATTCAATCACGTGGAAGACTGGCTTAAATCGCTCTACTACAAGTACGTTACAGTTCCCCTTTGTCCAGTGTTTGCTATTCCATTTTTTTCTTGTATTAAATACCCACTAATTGTGTCACTGAGCAGACAGAAGTGACACATCAAATGGAGAAGATTTATAACTTTGCTTGTGCGGTTTTGCAATTTATGTGTTCCAAATGGAAGACAAGTCTGATATCTGCTCTTGCTTTGATTTGCTACCTTTTTTTGCTTTCAAATGATCGGTCCTTCTAACCCGAACATTGTTTTCATTTCACTATTGGGTTTAGATTTTGCATATATACCCCAGCGCTCGTTTCACAACTGTCTGAGCCCCTGAAAGGGATAATCACTTCACGAATTTAGTTCATGTGAATTTAGAGAGTAATCTAGCAATCAGGAGTTGATTACAACATTAAAAACGAAATCCATTTAGCGGTTATAAAATGTACATTAGGTAACTCATGTCAACTTCACCTCCTTCAACAGCGATAAGTACATCTTGGGAAATAGATTACGCGTCAGTTGAAGTCTTTTATTATGTGCCTTTCACTTTTCAAAAGAGATGGTTCCAATATTCAACAATGCTCAAACTCTCAAAGTGCCTCTAATTATCATTTAATTAGTTTTTTTGGGACACATAGTATTGTTTACACGCATAAGGGTGCGTGTACTTTACAGGATAGTTCAAATTGTGAAGGACATTGGGTTGGCATTTAACGTAATATCACATTCCTTTGGGGCACGACATGTAGGCAGACAGCTTCCCTTTCGACATCTGTCTACTTGTATTACGTGCGAAATTTGATAAACTAGTTGATGCAAAGCGCAGTTGCGAACCACGTCAAAACAGTTGCCTTCTAATTTTAAATAATGTCAGTTTGCATTATTTAACATACCGCTATCACTTTCAAGCAGATGGTTAAATGGCCTATTGATATGCCATTGTCATTAGGCCTGAGAACTATGATTGAATTTATGGTTTAATTAAAAAGGCATTAAAATTTATTTTCTGAACCACAAACAAAGTCCGCTGTTTCGGCAACAATTTCTTCCGCAATTTTGTCGCTTTGAGAAACACGTCTCTCTCTCTCTCCCGCTGTCTCAATGTCAGACAGGGAGCCAGAAGTCAGACGTCTATACATAAATTTTTCAGCCACTCCGTTTCCCGACTCATGCAGTGTCTCTACTTCTCTCTCTCTCTCTGCGTCTGTGTTCTGCCGCAGCTTCGATTTTGACTCTGTTGTCCTTCATGTCTGGGGCCATCAGTTCCTCCGGATCTATTTAACCTTGCCGATTGCAGGCCTAGGAGAGAGAGAGAGAATGTTAGAGTTGATTCATTCAATCGACTTAATAATTTCAATCGGCAAAGAGTAACTCCCCATTTAACCTCCCCATGCATTTATGAGATAGAGAGGGGGGGGGGGGTAGGAGGGAGGTGGGAGAGTAGTCAGAGAACCCTGCTTCCTAAACTCCTGCTCTCTATCCCTCCGATAAATCACCTATATAGAGAGATAGAGGTAGAAGGTAAGTGCGGACGTATCCACTCTTTGCCTCCCTATGTTGCAGACGGAAGCTCACTCTTCTCTCTCTCTCTCTCTCTCTCTCTCTCCTCTCTCCTATCGCTCTCTGTACGCGTCGGTCCCTGTGTGCAAGACTTCAAAAGAGCCGCCTTTTCCGCGGATATACGACCGCACGCAATGAGCATACGCGCCTGCATCCATCTCAAACACAGTCCATCTCATGCCAATCCCCTCTCCTCTCTCTCTCTCTCTCTGGGCTTTCTTTTAGGCCTAGTCGTTCAGAAGAGAATGGCTCTGACTTAGTCTCACTGAGTCCATAAATCTCGAACCCTCCCATCCCCCCACCACAGCACGTGCTCTAATTCTGTGGTGCGAAAGTATCCACCCTGTGTATGTGTGTGCGCGTTTCCTTTTAATCTAACAATGAAGAACCTCCCTGTCCTTAAATTTCCCCCCTCTGTTTCCTCAAATTTCTCATTTGATTTCAACCAGCACTGTCATCATCCACTTGAAGCTCTTGACTAAGGAATACTCTCTATTAGAAGTCAATTGTCGAAGCCGTCCCAACTCTTTAAAGCGCAAAGATACTTTGAGCATTTTGGAGAAATAGCACCACTTTGTGCAAAAATAACCCAGTAAGTAGCGAATTAATTACTTAATCCAAGGTGCTCAGCATTTCCAATCGAGGGGAAATTTTCGTTGTTCAAAGAGATATACTCAAAGAAGTGCACGAAGTGTCATCCGTCAAGTACATTCATTTGAGTGATATGCACTCTCGTGAACATGGCTTATGTGCACGCAACTTGATCCTCAAAATTATCAGCAGTTGGGTTGCCTTAGATAGATACGTCGGGTTCCGGAATTTACGGAAAATTCTCCGTTTCCTGTTTACCTTTCCTATTTAGGCGGTAGGTTCGACTATGTACTTTAGGGAATTAATAGCCAAGGCGATGTCTATCGGGAGGGGGGGCGGGGATAAGGGATCCTTTGTGTACTATATAGGCAGACTTATTGAGTCCAATTTTGGCGGATTCAAGGTAAGTTATTATGATGTGAGGTTTAGAAAGGTATAGGCAAACATCAAAGCTAGCAGACTGGTGATTTCGCTGTGTACCGCGAGACCATGGGCACAGACACTTTTGTCCCACCATCCCCAAAGGGAACTTAGAGTCTGCTCAGACACATTTTAGACTCGCGTGCTCTCTTATGTCTGGTTAGTTGTTGTCTGCTGACGTCTCACGTCTGCCCCCATTCTACCTTTGAAGCAATTAATAAATTCACTTTGAGGATGCGAACCCCGTACTCTTTAAAGTTCAACTTCTTCGTGGTGGTGTTTGTAGTGCTTTGTGAAGCCGAAACAGGTAAATATATTGATTTTTTTCAAAAGATTAGTTCTAATTCCAATTTTTACTTCAGGTATGAGCGTTGAGTCACCTTGAACTGAAACATTCAGGCAGTAGGCAGCAAATTAGCAAAAAAATGTTTACAAAAACCTTGAATTCTGCCAAACACCAACTCAAATCTCAATAGTTTCCAGGCTGATTGTAGAAATTTTGTCCTTAAATAGAAAATTGGCATTTGTAATTTAACCTAAATTCTAGTGCAGGTCACACATATGTTACCATCTTTTAATCCTCTGCTTCTTGCGTTTATTACTGTCGCGGCATTTAGTTGAGCAATCATGTAGATAAGCCACTATTGTCCTGAATTCTTAATTAGTATTAAAAAAAATTTTATTCCAATTATCAATCTAATAACAGAAATACTAAGAGATATGGAAAGGATAAATTTTGGGTATCAAGGAAATTGATAACCAAGTATTTCGTTGTAAAATGTTGGCTAAGTGGATAGGTTATGTTCTTAAATTAGATTTTCATGATAGTCTCATGGACATCAGTAAATTTTATTGTTTCATTTGTAACGCTTATCAATTAGATTTTGTTAATTGAGAATGGTTGGTCTTGGCGGCTAAATTCAATTTTTCCAACAGGGGTAAATGACCC